GATAGGGTGCTCGCCTCCCATCCCATTTATACCCGATGGCTCGAAGTGGCGGTGTCTTACGACTCGAAGGCCACTTTGTCAGATGTGTAGGAGGAGGGTGTGTATCGTGGATATCGTGGACGAATATTCCATCGGAGATTCAGTGGACGTGGAATAATCGATGCGGTTGCCGGGAAGGGAAATAGGGTTTGAAAGGTGAATTTTGAGAAGGGATGGATTTGGCGGAGGATTTGTCGTGTAAATCGTTGTTTCCAAGATTCGATGGATGTGGAATAATAATATAGATAATGGAGAGATGTTGTTGGGATTTGAAAAGATGAATTTTGAGAAGGTGTTCTGGATTTTAAAATAGTATAATTCGTTTATGTTTATATTTATATTTTTTGTATAGGTAGAATAATTATTTTTGGATAATGTGTATATTGTGCGTTTAGAAATGTTTAGATCTGATTATTAGATGAAGTAGAGGAATAAATAATTCTATATTTCTATAAAATATACTATATGAGATGTGATAAAATTTTTGAAAATGTAAATTTTTAGAATTTTAATTGTCGGTATATTCTATTTGTAATTAATTATCTAATTATCGTATAATGAAAATTAATGTGCTTTGTCACTCGTGAATGTAATTCGTTTTTGTGTCAATGAATGTTGTTCGAATATTACGTGTGGAGGAGAGTGTGAAAATAATTAGAAATTAAATTACGAATGGTTGTTAATAACGCATGGATTCACATTCAAACCGATTCGTACAAATGATATGCTGTGTGGTTAATGGCTATTGATGATATTTGTTAACGTATGCTCTGAAGTATTTTCGATCCATTGTTTCATTAAATTTTGTGAATGTCTCTCTGAATGTCTATAATATTCGCGTCACCACTTATAACAGGTAATTAAATATCGAAAAATTTTTTATTTAAAATTTTCCAATTTTTCGAAATTGTTTAATTCAAAAACATTTAAATTCTTACAAAAGAAATAAACTTCAAGTTTTTTATTTTTAAATTTTTAAATTTGTAACTTTTAAATTCTACATTTTTCAAATTTCAATTTTTCAAAGAAGTGAAAATATTTTATAAAATAATTTTAAATGATCTTGAACAAATATTCTTCTGAATATTTTTGAAATTATGAAGCCATGAAGATGGAATGATTAATTGGAGTAATAAAGTTTGTCCAGAAAAAGTGTGCTTTTCGTTCCAATTAGTGAATATTATGAACTATATTATTCTACAATCTTTCATTTGAAAAAAAAACAAAGAACCTTAGAACAATTATCTACCTCTTCTTTTCATTGTTCACACTTTTTTTTGCATCGAAAAGAAAAAAAAAACATTTATATTCATATTTTTGATAGAAAGTTTGACAATTTCTATTAGAATTACTCCAATATAATTATTCCAATGGAATAATTAAAATGGAATTATAAAATAAATAAATAAAAAAAAAGCGAGTATAATTTTTTATTTACATATAAAATCGATTAAAAAAAATTCTAATAAAAAGAAATATGCATTATAAATTATTCTTTTATTCATAATTTCAAAAAATTATTTGTATATGATCATTTGCAGATAAATGCAGAAACAAATATTGAAGATATAATTCAGAAAAAAGTATAAATTGGAACTTATATCGATCTATCAAAGAGAGAGGTATTTCTCCCAAAGGAGCTTGCTGATTATTTTCGAATCGAGTTACTATTTACAACGTGTTCAAAGAACTAAATACAAAAGAGCCTTCTGAGGAATATAACTGATTTCGCGAGGCGCATCTGTTCGTTTCTGTATAACAGAAGAGAGTGCAATAATTTTTAAACTGATTTGCTCACTCATGGATGCACGTTATTCGCGATATTTCAACTTTCTCACTTGTTTTTCAAAAAGCTTCGCGAAAACATTAAGTACAGACGAAATGTACGGATAAAATATCAACGCATCACCATTTTTTCACGTAATGAAATTTTTAATTAACGAATTTCTCCGGTTCTCAAAATTTTCGATCGCTTCGAATTTTAAGCGAAAAAATTATTTCTGTCTTTTCTTCTTCTATTCTCCTCGTTTCTGAATCGAAAATTATTCGCGATTTTTTTTTTCAAATTTTTCTTTTAGGACGGCATTATACTCTTAATCTACGAATCGAAAATTGTCATTCCAATTCTCGACTTTTTTTTCGAGATTCTTCCAATATCGTTTCAAGATTATTTAAAATGTTTATTACGAAAAATATTTTCAAGCAATCTTTTATCGTTCTTTATTCACAAGTGTCTATCAATCCACGATCAAATTGATTCCCCTCTCCATAATCTTCTCGCGTGCGAGACGAGTACCGTGTAAATTACAATAAAACCGAGCAGCTGCCGCTTAACGAACGTGATATTATTCACCAGTCTTTCCTCGTCAACCTCTATCGCCCAGGAACCCCAGAAGCAATTTTCCAAAGTGCTTCCTCCGTTATATCATCCGG